AAATGAGAGGGAGAGAGAGAGAGATAGAGACATTGATGAGAGAGAACATTGATTGGTCCCCCCCTGCATGCCCCCCACTGGGGATCGGGTCCACAACCTGGGCATGTGTCCTGACCAGGAATCAAACCGGTGACCTCTTGGTGCATGGGTCAACGCTCAACCATTGAGCCATACCAGCCGGACTCTAAAATTAATTATAAAAGAACATATTAGCTGGCCGGTGTGGCTCAGAAGTAGAGCATCAACCTATGCACCAGGAATTCCCTGGTTTAATTCCCGATCAAGGCACATGCCTTGGTTTTGGCTTCGATCCCCAGTAGAGGGGGCATGCAGGAGACAGCCAGTTGATGTTTCCCTTATCATTGATGTTTCTGCCTCTCTCTCCCTCTCCCTTCCCCTCTCTGAAATAATTTTTTTTAAAAAACATAAAAAGAACATATTAAAAAAAAACTTTTCCCAACAATCTCTATTCCTTCCTATTCCCAAGTTTCTGATGTGTGTATTTGGGGGACAGGGGGACTTCCTTCCTTCCTTCTCAATCCTTTGCTTTCTGCCAGATAGCAGAACAAAAAAGCATAAAGAGCGTAAAACCCCACTTCAGCTCAGTTGTCCTGTACTCCTCCCAGGCAAACAGGCCTCTAAGCTGTGTCTTCCATGAGCGACTCACGCTGCTCCTGGTGCTGCAGGAGAGCTCTCCTGGCCACTGGTTGAGATAATCATTACAGCTCGTTTTATAAAAGGCCTATAGTGTTACCTCTGCTCTGGCTTGGGAATACATTGTTTAATAATAATCATATTGTAATAATAAATATTAAGTACTTATGTACATTATTTTATTGAGTCCGTACAACCCTTGTGAAACAGGTACCATTGTTTATCCCTGAGTTAAACACAGGAAGCTGAGGTGTGAAAGGTCATGTAATACGGCCAAGGTCACACCGAGGACAGTCTGACGGTTGAGCTGAATGCTTATCCATTTTCACCGCTCTACAGTCATGTTATTCGTGAAGCGAGTGGCCTGTCCGAACCGCTGCTCTGCCTTAAGCATGTGTGTGACAGTGGTAGAACCCCTTGCTCTGCTTTACTCATCCACGTGTGTGGTTGACTGACATTCGTTGAGCTCATCTGGGTCCAGGGCAGTTTGCTAGGCATTGGGGTGGACTCAGGAGTGGTCGGGTCTTGTGTTACAGGACTCAGGATGGGTCATGTAACCATCCTGCAGTGGGATGAAGATGGGACAGTTTGGTGAGAAGATCCGAGGAGGGAATGGCAAGCAGCAGGCTCCAGGACCCCAACATGCCCCTGGTCCTGTGCTCTTAGGAAGCACGGGGGTGGTGAGGTACAGGCAAACAAACCCTGAGAAAGCATTGGGCAGTTCTGTGGGATAATTAAAACATTAGAAGTCCTATATCTTCAGATTCTGAGGAGAGTAAAATAGCTTTTCTTTTGCATGGTTAACAGATGTAAGAAAAAAAATGAACCTTTCTGTAATGAGTCATTGTTTTATCTAAGAGGGTCAAGGAAGTAATTTATTAATTTAAATGAAAAATAGCCTGGGAGGTTCAGAAAGATGAGAATTTTATGTTTACGTGGCCTCACGGGCTGTTTTCAGCCTGGGCCTACCTGTTCTCGGTGCCATGTTGCTCACCTGCTGTTGTAAACCTCGCCTCTTGAAATCGTCTCTTTGCAAGAGAAAAGCCTCATCATGTGTGGTTTGATGCTGGCGTTACTTACCTGAAGGCTTACAAATGACACTGAATCTGCCCCCATGAGAAAAACAGAGCGGGCACTGTCTTGCGGGCCTGGCGACTCAGGACCAGCAGCACACCCAGGAGCTTGTTAGAAAAGCAGACGCAGGGATCGGAATCTGCATTCTAGCACGATCCCAGGTGACTCACACTAGAGTTTCAGAAGCACTGGGCCAGGCCAGACTAAGCCACCTGTGTTCCCGGGCGTGGAAGCGTCCAAGGATGCACTTTGTTCCTGTCCGTTCCACAGTTGCCCGGGACACATGCCTGTGTGAAAGCAACACTTTGTACTTCAACCCTGCCTGCTCCCCTGACCCCACCAGTGCTCACCAGTGCTCTTCTGCTTCATTAAACCCTCAAAAATATAGTCCCATACATTTTTGGGTCAAATTCAACATTTGTCAAACACAGCTTTATAAAGTTAGGACTGAAATACAGTGAGTGGCACATACTTAAATGTCATTTGATAAGTCTTGACACATGTATATCAGTGAAGCCATCACCACGATCAAGATAATAAACGTATCCAGCATCAACTACCATTAAAGTGTTGTGCCCCTTTGCATCCTCCCTGCACCCCCCACGTAACCAATAATCTGCTGTCACTATAGATATGACTGCATTTTCTAGAAATATATGTGAATGGAATCATATAAATGGCCTCTTTTGTTTGGCTTCTTTCAGCATAATTACTTAGAGATCTATCATGAGTACTATGTGTAACAGTTTTATTATGAGTAATCCATTGTATAAATATAACCTTTTGTTTATTACATGTTAATAAAAATGGCCCTGGCTGGTTTGGCTCAGCGGTTGGAGCGTTGGCCTGCGGTCTGGAGAGGCCCGGGTTCAGTTTCTGCTAGGGGCGCGTGCCTCGGTTGCAGTTTGTCCCCGGCCCTGGTTGGTCGTGCGGGTGACAGCCACTCGATGTGTCCCTTTCACATCGATGTTTCTCTCTCTCTCCTCTCTCTCTCTCTCCTCTCTCTCTCTCTCCTCTCTCTCTCTCTCTCTCTCTCTCTCTCTCTCTCTCTTCCTCTCTTTCCCTCCCACTCTACCTGAACAAAAAAATGGAAAAAATGTCTTCGGGTGAAGATTAAAAAAAAAAAGTAGGTTGTTTCCAGTTTGGGGCTATTTATAGATAGGGTGTCATGAACATTTGCTTTTAGAAGTATTTATTTATATGCTCTTGTGCTTTCATTTTGCTTGGTAAATAAATACCTAGGAATGGAATACCTGGATCATGTGGTCCATGTGTGTGTAACTTTTTGGGAAAGAACCACGTGTTTTCCAAAGTGGTCGTGTCATTTTATATTCTCACCAGCAGAGTCTGAGAGTTCCAGTCCCTTCACCTCTTCTCCAGCACTCTGTATTGTCTGTCTTCTTTATCATACCTGTTCTAGTGGGGGTGATGTGATATTTCACGGTGGTTTTTATTTGCATGTTATTAATAAGCATCTATTATATATCTTCTTTGAAGTGGCTGTTGAAATAATTAATTTGGTTGGCTGTTAATGTATTTGAGAGTTCTTTAAGTATTCTGGTTTCAAGTCCTTTATCAGATCAATGATTTGCTAGTATTTTCTTCCAATCTGGGCTTGTTTTTCATTCTTTTAACAGTGTCCTTCAAAGAGCAGAAGTTTTTTATTTTGATGAAGTCCAGTATATCAGTTTGTTCTCTCCCAGTTATGGATCATGCTTGTAGTGTTCTAAGAAACATTTGCCTAAACCAGGGTCACAAAGGATTTCTCTTATGTTTTCTTCTGGAAGTATTAGAATTTTAAGTTAGGTTTTATATTTAGCTCCATGATCCATTTTGAGTTTTTTTTAATCCTCATCCGAGGACATTTTTCCATTTTTTGTTCAGATAGAGTGGGAGGGGGAGAGAGGAAGAGAGAGAGAGAAACATTGATGTGAAAGGGACACATCAAGTGGCCGCCACCCACGCGACCAACCAGGGCCAGGGACAAACCTCAACCAAGGTACATGCCCTTAGCGGAAACTGAACCCAGGTCTCTCTGGACTATAGGCCGACGCTCTAACCGCTGAGCCAAACCGGCCAGGGCTTGAGTTTGTTTTTATGTATGGATCATGGTGGAATGAACCAGCATCATTTGTGGAATTGACTTGCCTTTGGACCTTTCTTGAAAATCACCTGCCATGTCTATGTGAGTAAGCCTCTGAAAATGTTTAGGCCTGGCAGTAGGGAAAACTGATGAAAGCACTGAGAACTCTGGTCCCCAGTGATTAGGGTGATTGCTGTCCAGTGGTAGAATATGAGGTCCAGCTTTGGGGTCCTTGAGCTTCCCTGGGAGTCCAGCAACAAGGGACCTGTGGAGTGTGCCATCCTTGGGTGAGTGGAGGAACCCACCCCTCAGGTCTTTTTTGGTAGGGCTTAATTCTCTCACAGACCTCTGTTGAGCAAGGCTGGATAATACATAGCAAGAACCCTTCTAGATGCATAAGATACACATTAATTCATTACATCCAGTGGGGACTTAGGACAGTGGGCCTTGCTTCTCTCCTGGAATTCTGGTTGAGAAGGGCTGCTGGACCAATAAAGGAGACCAAGACTTAGAAACCCAGGAGGCCCCATCATTTCACAGAATCCCACAGTAACACAAGCTCTGGAAAATTCTGGGCTTGCCCTTTTCCAGTCCCAGATAAGATGTGATTCCAGGCTGTGGTAGAGTTGGCAGCACACTGCCACTGTCTAGACCAGTTCTGTGCCCACTACTGTGCATCTCAGGTGTCCCGAGCGGAGACGCCTGTTCTAGAGGCTGCGGACTAGAGGACCTGGGGAGCTGCCACAGGCAGGAGTCGTGACTCCTGTCTGAGGGCCGCTGAGCCCTGGGTCAGTGAGGTGACCTGTCCATGGCAGGGGCACAGGAGCTCCTCGGTCCCGTGGTCTCTCTCCCATCTCCAGCGGGGTTCTTGCCTGGCCTTGTCAGCACTGTGCTCCGTCTTCTGTCGGGCCTGTGGGCAGGAAGGCCAGAGCTGGTGTCCTGCAACAATTTGAAGCCTTTCATGTCCAGTCTGAGCCTCTCTTGAGGATGCAGGAGGTAGGGGCAGGTTTGGCATTGGGATGCAGGCTCGTATTCGCTGTACATCCTGGACGGGCAGAGTGACTCGAGGGCGAGGGAAGCAGTTCTTCACATGCTACCGCAATTGACCTTGGCCCCCGTGCGTGTGACACAGACCTGTGTCTAGTGTAGTAAGTGAGAACAGCGCCCTAACACAGCTTTTGTTTTCTAGGCGCTCCTGGCGGGCATGAGGAACCGGGAGAACAGCTCACCCTGCCAGGGCAATGGGGAGCAGGCCGGCAGGGGGAAGACCTTGGTCTCTGTGTGGCCGGGTGAGGAGGAGCCCTGCAATGACGTGACCACCCCCTCCTACAAGAAGCCTCTGTATGGCATCTCACACAAGATCATGGAGAAGAAGAACCCTCCTGCGGGGGATGTGCTCAGCACGTATGAGCTCTTGGAGAAGGCCAACCCCAGCAACAGCCCCTCGCCGCTGCGGCTCCTAAACGAGACACAGAAGCGGGACGGTGGCAGTGCAGCCATGACCACTGATGGCGACCCCAACATCTACTTTCTGATCCAGAAGATGTTCTACATGCTCAACACACTCTCCTCCAACATGTCCCAGCTGCACAGCAAGGTAGACCTGCTGTCCCTGGAGGTGAGCCGCATCAAGAAGCAGGTGAGCCCCACGGAGATGGTGGCCAAGTTCCAGCCGCCCCCCGAGTACCAGCTGACCCCTGCCGAGCTCAAGCAGATCGTGGACCAGAGCCTGTCTGGCGGTGACCTGGCCTGCCGCCTGCTCGTGCAGCTGTTCCCCGAGCTCTTCAGTGACGTGGACTTCTCCCGCGGCTGCAGTGCCTGTGGCTTTGCGGCCAAGCGGAAGCTGGAGTCGCTGCACCTGCAGCTCATCCGCAACTACGTGGAGGTTTACTACCCCTCGGTGAAGGATACAGCCGTGTGGCAGGCCGAGTGCCTTCCCCAGCTCAACGACTTTTTCAGCCGCTTCTGGGCCCAGCGGGAAATGGAGGACAGCCAGCCTGGGGGCCAGGTCGCCAGCTTCTTTGAGGCTGAGCAGGTGGACCCTGGCCACTTCCTGGACAACAAAGACCAAGAGGAGGCCCTGTCCTTGGATCGGAGCAGCACCATCGCCTCAGACCACGTGGTGGACACGCAGGACCTCACCGAGTTCCTGGACGAAGCCTCATCACCAGGCGAGTTCGCAGTCTTCCTTCTGCACCGGCTTTTCCCGGAGCTCTTTGACCACCGGAAGCTGGGCGAGCAGTATAGCTGCTACGGGGATGGCAGCAAACAGGAGCTGGACCCGCAGAGGCTGCAGATCATCCGCAACTACACGGAGATCTACTTCCCCGACATGCAGGAGGAGGAGGCCTGGCTGCAGCAGTGTGCCCAGCGCATCAACGACGAGCTGGAGGGGCTGGGGCTGGACGGGGGCAGTGAGGGCGAGCCCCCGCGGGACGACTGCTACGACTCCTCTAGCCTGCCCGACGACATCTCCGTGGTCAAGGTGGAGGACAGCTTCGAGGGTGAGCGGCCCGGCCGGAGGTCCAAGAAGATCTGGCTGGTGCCCATCGACTTTGACAAGCTGGAGATCCCCCAGCCCGACTTCGAGGTGCCGGGCGCCGACTGCCTGCTCAGCAAGGAGCAGCTGCGCAGCATCTATGAGAGCAGCCTGTCCATCGGCAACTTCGCCTCGCGCCTGCTGGTCCACCTCTTCCCCGAGCTCTTCACGCACGAGAACCTGCGCAAACAGTACAACTGCAGCGGCTCCCTCGGCAAGAAGCAGCTGGACCCGTCCCGCATCAAGCTCATTCGCCACTACGTGCAGCTGCTCTACCCCCGGGCCAAGAACGACCGGGTCTGGACGCTGGAGTTTGTGGGCAAACTGGACGAGCGCTGCCGGCGCCGGGACACGGAGCAGAGGCGCTCCTACCAGCAGCAGCGGAAGGTCCACGTGCCGGGCCCCGAGTGCAGAGACCTGGCAAGCTATGCAATCAACCCCGAGAGGTTTCGGGAGGAATTTGAGGGGCCTCCGCTGCCCCCCGAAAGAAGCAGCAAAGACTTCTGCAAGATCCCTCTGGACGAGCTGGTGGTCCCCTCCCCCGACTTCCCGGTGCCTTCGCTGTACCTGCTGTCAGACAAGGAGGTGCGCGAGATCGTGCAGCAGAGCCTGTCGGTGGGCAACTTCGCCGCCCGCCTCCTGGTCCGGCTCTTTCCCGAACTCTTCACCGCCGAGAACCTCCGCCTGCAGTACAACCACTCTGGGGCCTGCAACAAGAAGCAGCTGGACCCCACGCGGCTCAGGCTCATCCGACACTACGTGGAGGCGGTGTACCCCGTGGAGAAGATGGAGGAGGTGTGGCATTACGAATGTATCCCTAGCATCGACGAACGGTGCCGCCGCCCCAACAGGAAAAAATGTGACATCCTCAAGAAAGCCAAGAAAGTGGAGAAGTGATGGGTACCCTGGGGCCTGAGCCTTCCTTTGGAGCACGTGTATGGTCCACAGACACGCACCTTATGTCAGTGGGAAGTGGCTTACTACTTTTGCACACACGAACACCCACCCAACCACAAGAAAGAAGCCTTACATTTGGTCTCTCCTGCATTCAGCCTTTTCCTCAGTTCCCCAGGGGTGCAGCCAGTTTGGGGATGGCTGAGCTTGAGAGCCTGCAGGCCACAGGAGCAGGGCTTCCCCTCCTTGGCTGCCCTCCCCTCTTCTCAATTTGAAATGCAACGTCAGCAATTCCCTGTTCCTCTTCCCACATTTTACATCTTCCATTTTTATCAATTGTTTTTTCATTAAAAGGAAACCCTTTTTTAAAAAGATCATTGGGCTCTTTGGGGGCCACTTTGCTTAGGAAAAAAAAATATTTTAAATATTCATGGTGAAATACTGTTAGATGACTTCAGTTGCTGGGATTTCTTTTTAAGATGGTTTCAGATTTATGAAATTTATAGAATGGCCATGTTTATGCATGATGGCTAATAATAGTTTCAGGTGGCATAGAGACCGACTTTACTGACCTTGTCTTTTTGCATCTGATTTTGGAAGAGTCAAGCTGCCCCTTGGATGGCAGTAGAGGGGATGGGATAGCGTGATGTCCTTTCTGACCGTGGTCGCTTTCTCCCCTTCACTGTAGTGCCTAGGAAGGGGCTTACTCATGGCCTGGCCTGTTCGTCGTTGCTTGGTCGTTAGAATGTTGTGCTCACTCTCTGTAGACAAGTAGACAAGAACACTGGATGATGATGATATGAATGTAGATAGACGTGGAAACACGTTCACAAATGTCATTTGAGCTGCGTCCTTCCACTGCCCCCTTCCCTCTCCACATGAGGGTGCTGGCTGGAGGGGCAGACACATTTCCTTGGAGAATAGTGTGTGTGAATAATTGGCTTCTTGTTTGATGTAAGGATGGGTCCCTTTGGACTCACCAGACCTGTTTACTTTCTGTGTGTGTATTTGTACAAAATCTGGGTTCTGGGGGCTGTCTGGCGACTTCACCACACCTCTGTGTTAGCTCCTCCAGTCAGTGTGCGTCCTTGTTCCTCAGGGCGGCCCAGACCTGCAGGCCCTCTTGGGGATACCTGGTATTGGAAGGACACAGGTCATCTCAAATGGGGCTCCCATGTCCCTTCCTAGGGTTCACTCAGCTTCTCCTCAGAACCCTAGAAGGTCCTGCTGCCCTACATCTGGCTGGTCCCTTGGCCTTGGGGTGAGACATTTCTTTTCTCCCTACTGCTTGGGAAAGTCAAACAACTTCAGGCCAGTGGCATGTTCTCCAGGAGTTCCCGCCAGGAAATTCCTAATAGTTCAAGTCCTTGAAAACAGTGCTTTTACTTACCTGGCTTTGGGGGTCAAATGCCTAAGAGGGAAAGGAAACAGTCTAACTAAATACATCATACCAGAAACCTGGAAAAATGAGTGAGTCACACAGGGTAGTCATAGAACCCTTGTAGCTTAGTAATTGGCTACCTTAAAATGCAGAAACAATAGAAACAGTCTGTGAATTGTTTTTATACAGCTGATAAGGACTTCAGTTCCAGGGGCTGTATGACAGAATTTTGCCTGCACTCAGCGGGCTTTTTAAAAATATATATATGACAGAATTTTGAGCAATGTCTACATGCTGATCTAACTTTAGTAAATTTGCTTTTAAATGTCATTTATAGATTATTTCTCTTGGAACTGCAGGCCTAAATTATTGAAACTGAGGAATGCACAGGGATTTAATGACTCCCTCACCCACCCACACATGCACACACGCGTTTCTTACGAAAAAACAAGTGAGGTGACAGGGACCTACCTAACGAGTTCAACCTCTTTGTGCCTGGAAAGAAGGGACTGGAGCAGCCGGGAGGCTCACTTCCCCCCTCACCTGGGCCTTTCTCTATGCCTTAGTCTCCCCGACACACAAATGCATGCACGCACACGCACGCACGCCCTCCCCACAGGCGGCAGCGGCGCTCTCCCGCCAGCCGTGTTGGTTGGAGGGCACTGTGGGATTCTTTCTCGTCTCGAGGATTCCAAGCCATGTGAAACTTGTCCTGCTTTCTAGAGGGTGGAATGGGACCCTGCAACTTCAGAAGCACAATCATTTATTAATAATTTTAAAAAATCCTATCTACCCACGTTAAATCAAAGATTCTAGGTTCCAAGGATGAACTATGTCTCAGTATAACCTAGAGCTTGTTCAGTTTTTGGAGACCGTATTTTGATGGTTTCCTTAATACTTTACTGTGTAGGGCTTCTCCCTGCCCCCCCCCCCCCCCCATCTTAGAGTCCCTTTCAGTGAAGGAGGTGGACCGGCAGCAGGCAGTGCGTGCAGGTCCTGCATCCCTCCCTCGGCGCCCTCAGCCACACAGGGGCATTTTCTACATGAAGCAATACAAGTACAAAATACTTTTTTCCCCAAAAAAATTTAATGTTTTCCATAAAATCTGTTGGCAAATCCCTTCCCTCTATCTAAATTTTTTGGGTTTTATTTGCCCCCCCACCCCCATATCTGGAGAACTAAAGAATTAGCACAGACACATTCTGATAAGTGAAATAGCAAATCTTGTAGGCGGTAGTGTCCCTCATTTTGTGTGTTAGGAACTTTTAAAAGAATGTATGAAGATAGCCCTGAATGTACTAAGTGTTCTAATCCTGCTTCAGTTCACTTTGGCTGTGTGTACATGACAGCAACCATTTCACAGGGAATCAAGTCGTGTCTTGTGTCGTGGGCGTTAGTGGGCCCCTCCCCATCCAGTGTCCGCCCGGAACCTTGCTTTCTGTAAGTTGTGGGGGGAGGGATCACATCAGCAGCAATCATCAACCAACCAATGGGATCTACTTAGTGATGAATGGATTAGCTGTTAAAGTGGTAAGAGTCACTGGCCTGACCTACGGCAGCTTGGCCCTGGGTTCCTGGAGAGATGCCCTCAGTTTCCACCGTTCCCCCAAATGTTCGCCTCTTGCCTAACTGGGGCAGGGGTCTCAAGACCCCTGACTGGAGGTCACTGAGGTCTCACCCTTCCTGTGTAGACAGATGATATGAAGTGGGGTGGGGGCCAAGGGGCTATACTGCCATTTGGAAATACTTGCCTCGAGTAGATCCAGCCTTAATGTTTTTCTGACATCCTAGTGATAGCAGACCCTGCACAAAGTGGATATCAGAGTTAATACTGTGAGGAGACAAAATAATGAGAATAGTTTTACCAAAGATAATGAAATATCACAATATGTCTGCATTTTACCATTGATTTGAGTGCATCCTTAGAAAACTGAATGTAACAAAAACCCAGGACATTTTTGGAAATTGTATGCTCTCTAGCAACTTTGTGTGAATTTTTATACAAGCACTGTTTTATGAGTTATATAAAATGTTATTAAAAAAAAAAAAAACAGAAAAAATATGGTCTCGTAACATCTTATTTTCGTAGGGAAGAGGTCTCTCAGGACACGTGTCGTTCCGTTTGTCTTTCCACGCGGCCGCCTCACCCACTCCATGGGGAAGACACGAATGCTCAGAGCTCGGCCTCCGGGCTTCCACACGGGTGTTGGGCTGCACCTCACAGGATTTCAGTTTGTCACAGCTGAATGACTGAGAAGTCGCCAAATAAATCCTGGCCCCTTTCTACACACACCGCTTCCTGGCCGCACAGTGGGAGGAGCATCTGCCCTGGCCAAGCAGGCGGGGCCTCCTTTCTCTCTTCCCTTCCGATTCAGTGGGAGGTCAGTCCTCTCAGCTAAGTGTTACTGGTAACCAAAGGATGCATGTTTTTTCTCACCCTTTGGCTAATTATAAATCATCGACTTTAATATTTCATAGTAAAAATAATGTCTCAAGCTGTCAGAGAACTTGTTTTTCGGCCCAAGGATCACAGTATGTGAAGTAAATTGTGGCTTGTGATTGGAACACTTTTCCTAGGCAAATGTTGGCTGTTGTGAGTCCTGATACTTCTGTGCCCTAAACTGATGCAGGTTAGGACTGGTCAAGGCCTGGAGCCCCACAGGCGAAATACATGAGCAAGTCTAAGCAAGACTTGATGGAAGGCTAAATTCATTAAGCCCCTTCTAGCCGTAATATCTTTGTTTTCTACCAAAAAGAACATGCAGAGCCCTGGCCAGTTTGGCTCAACGGTTAGAGCCTTGGCCCATGGACCAGAGTCGCAGGTTCAATTCTGGTCAAGGGCCCGTCCCTTGGTTTCAGTTCAGTCCCTGCCCCTGGCCGGGTCATGCAGGAGGCATCCAATCAATGTGTCCTCACATCGATGTTTCTCTCCCTCCCTCCCTCACACTCTATCCGAAGATAAATGGAAAAACATCCTTGGGTGAGGATTTAAAAAGGAGAACGTGCAGAGAATTTTCATAAATGCGAGCTTCCTTATGAAACCTAATTCTCAGAGATAGGAGCGCCACCCAGATCAGCTCCTTTTGTCATTGAATGGGCGGTGCAGTGGGCTCGAAGGAGTCTCCAGGTGAGTCTAAACTACCCCGGCCACTGGGAAAGAAAGGAGCATTTATCAAGTGTGCTCCTTATTTATAAGGAAGGCAGTGGTTCTCAACCTTCCTAGTGCCGCAGCCCTTTAATCCAGCTCCTCATGTTGCATGTGGGCGGACCCGCCTGGAGATGCACAGAGGAGCGGTGTCTCGGTTCCTAAGACCATCGGAAATATGCGTTTTCCGATGGTCTCAGGCAACCCCTATGAAAGGGTCGTTCTACCCCCAAAGGGGTCGTGACCCACAGGTTGAGAACCACTGTTACAATGGCACCTGGCATTCATTCAGTGTATACCATGTGCCAGGCACACAGAGCTGTACCTGGACCGTCTAAGAATCCTCTCAAGAGCCCTATGAGGTAAGGCCATAGTTATGCCTAATAAGAAAGGTAAGACCCTGAGTGATGTGTCTGCCATCTCATTTAATTCTCATAAGAACCTCGGTGTTTTGGGCACTGTTACCTATTTTCTTGG